CTCCTCTTCCTCCTCCTGCTTCTGCTGCTGCTCCTCCTCCCTCTCCTCCGCCTCCCTCTCCTCCTCCTCCTCCTCCTCCCTCTCCTCCTCCTCCTGACCTAGACCCCCGACGTCGCAATTTTGTCCCAGACGTGATCGCGTCGTGAAAACATCAGGGCGGGAGGTTTTTGGCCGTTTTCGGCCCCTGGGAGCCCTCGCCGGGGCCGGGGCCGTCAAAAAACGGATCAGGATGAAAAGCCGGTCCCGGGGACGGGGTCGGGACTTCCAAGGGCCCGGCAGTGAAACAATCAGGACGTCGCATCGAAACCCAGCGGTCTGAACCCCTTCCCCGGGACTGGTTTTGCATCCCGAGCCGTTTTATTGACGGCCCCGAGGCCTGGTACAAGAGCCTTCGGAGGCCGAAAGTAAAGAATAGCGAAAACCCTCGCCCGTCGTGATTTTTGTTCACGTCGCGAGGGCGTTTGGGTTCGGCGGCGAGCGAGGGGCGGACGTGAGAAGTAGAAGGCCTTCTCAGAAGACAGCGGAGCTTCTCAGAAGCCCGCCGGCCTTGTAAGAGAAGTTTGCTGACTTCTCGGGGAAACTCCCGAACCTTCTGAGAAGGCCTTCTCCTTCTCACTTCCCCTCCGGGCGCGCCGCCTATTTTCACAACGCCGACATCCATATAGGTCTGGGCCCCTTCCCCGGGACCGGCTTTGCATCGCGAGCCGTTTGTCGACGGCCCCGAGGCCCAGTATGAGGACCTTCGCTCGCCGCCGATGGGTCCTCGGGTCTCTGCGCGCTCGGCGCCGCGCGGAGGCCGGCGGCGGCGGGCGCCTGGGCGGCCGCTCGGCGGCCTTCGGGCTGTGGGCGAGCGGCACCCGTCGGCGGCGGGCAGCTGGCTGCCACTGGCGTTACGTCGGGCATGTCCCTCTACAGGAGGAGTATTCAGAAGAAGTCAAAACATAGTAAGGAGTATTCTGAAGAAGCCAAAATCCGCCTGTAGGAGGACATGCCCGACCTGACACTGGCGGGCATCGGCGGCGTTCGATTGCCATCGGCGGCGAGCATTCGGCTACATAGCTGGCTTCATCGTCGGGTCCTTGCGCGCTTGTCCCGAGGAGGCCCCCAGGATGTGAAATTCCTTGGTTGTCCGTAGCTCTTGACTGTTGTCGGCGTATGTTTTGGCTTTCCGTGTCTTCAGAGCGTCCGAGGCGTCCCAAGAAACACCCAGAATCACCCCAAGCTATTTCCGCCTGTCTGCTCCGCGCGATGCTTGTGGGGCAGTGTAACAGTCAGGACGTTCAGGACAGGGACGAATTCCATCAAGTCTGCCTACGAGACGAGTGAGCGAGATGGACGGATTGACGTTCAGGGTTTTTTTGTATTCTGTCAATCGGCCAGAGCAGAAATATCAGTTAGGGGCATCGAGTGCACACATAAGTATCAATTGGTCAGAGGCTGCTGCCGTGCGGGCAAGCGTTTGGAAGAGCACGGCGCGAGATTACAGCCGCTGTCAGTCTAGCTCCCTTCCACTGCTCATGTGCGCGTCACACGGCTGCTAGTAATAATTTCTGCTCTGATAGTTCACTGATGCTCGAATTATCCCGCAACGTTTACGGCGTTTGTTCCGACTCTCGCGCTTCGCTTTGTCAGGGCCATTGGTTGCCCTGAGTGGTCGGAGCGCAACAAATATACATGAATACCTTTTCTGCCCGCCGGGGGCCCTGAAAGCTGGGTGTGGAAGGATGATGTTCGTGTCAATCTACGTAGCAGCCGCAATTGCGTTGCCCCGATGACGACGACGGCGCAGGCCCTCTCCGGGGGATAGCCAGCCGAGCCCCAGCCGGCCCCGCCCCCGCCGACGATGCCAGTGCATTTCGGGGGCAACATCGGTGTATACCCCAAACCCATCAGGACACGACTATGCGTATACACCGAAAAATGCATAACCAATTACGCCAGATTTGGTGTGTATTTACATTGCCCCGGCAACCGGGGTTCCCAGTTCGCGCCGGCGCCGAAGACGCTATTTGAAGACGGACCACGCGTCCCTGTGAAGACGCTACTCTTTGTGAAGACGCTATTCCTGGTGAAGATGGTGAAGACGCTATTCCGTGTGAAGACGCTGTTCCGGGTGAAGACGCTAGTCCTGGTGAAGACGGTGAAAACGCTATTCCGGTTGAAGACGCTATTCTTGGTGAAGACGCTAGTCCCGGTGAAGAAGCGTTCTGCGGACACAGACAGCACTTCCCCTATGAAGACGCTATGCCCTGTGAAGGCGCTAGTCCCGGTGAAGATGCTATTCGGTGTGATGACGCTATTCCGGGTGAAGACGCTATTCCTTGTGAAGACGCTATTCCAAGTGAAGACGCTATTCCGGGGTAGGACGTTATTAACTCCGGATCCGCCCTACGATTGTTTTCCCAATTTAAAATTGCGTCGGATATCCACATCTAAGAAACAGAAAATTAGGGCGGTAATTTCCGCCCCCAAGAAGCAAGGCTGACAATTTCGCCTTCATTTTAATGTTTATATTCACGTCGCCCGTAGCAGAGCGCGTTTTTGTTCGGCTCCGAATCGCGGGAAAGCAAGGCGGATGCATAGCCAAGTTCGCGCGGCCGAAGCCACCCAGAGCACCGCGTCAGAGCGACGGGGGGGCCGAACGGTCTCCTACTGTCCCCGAGTGCGGATTTGACCAAGTAGTCCACGATGCAGAGACATGTTTGCACCTGGTCGTCACGGCCCCGCCGCCCGCGCCGCGGCCCAAGAGGGCCTCGAGACGGTCAAAGACGGCCTCGAGACGACCCGAGATGCCTCGCAGACGGCCCGAGAGGGCTCCAAGGTGCTCCCAAGCGGCCCGCGCCCATTGATCTTCGCAACGTTCATCAGTAGTCATGGCGTTTTTGCCCATCGGGCATCGGCCCAGACGTTGTCAGGCAGGCCCAAATCTCGCCCGGCAGGCCCGAAACAGGGCTTCAAGACGGCGCCAAAACGGTCCAGAACGGCCTCCGGACGGCTGGCGCGGCCCAGGCCTGTAAAAGGGCACCGCGGCCGAGCCCGAAAGCGGAGGTCGAAGTATCCGCCGCGCCGCGCCATCAATCAAGACGCGTCTTGCCCCTGCCCCCCCCCCCCTAAAAAAAACAGGCGCCCGACATCTTGATGTCTTTATTTAATCGCTTCGCTCATTCCGCCGCCCCATCTTGTCGCACCGTTGTGGGCTAGCCGAGTTTTGGGGCCTCTTGGGGGCCGTTTTGGGGCCTCTTGGGGGCCTCTTTTGGGCCTCTTGGGCGCCTCTTGGGGCGTCTTGGGGGCCCCTTGGGGGCCTCTTGGGGCCTTTTTGGGGCCTCCTGGGCGCCTTCTGAGGCGGAGGGCTCGATTTTTCAGTTCTCGGTTCCCCTCTTGAGCCCCTCTTGGGCCCGTCTTGGGGCCTCTTGGTCCGTCTTGGGCGGCACTTGGGCCGTCTTGGGGGCCCTCCTGGGCCGTTCCGGGGCCGTCTTGGGAGCCTCGTGGGCCGTCTTGGAGCGGTCTTGGGGGCCTCTTGGGCCGTCTTGGAGCGTCCGGAAGCCGAAAAAGCCAGAACGCAAAAAACATAGAAAAAAACAATGAAAATCAACGATTTTGGCCTCTTGGGGCCCTCTTCGGAGGCCTCTTGGAAGGCCCTTGGGGCGTCTTGGAGGCCTCTTGGGCTGTCTTGGGGCCCTGTTGGGCGTCTTCGGGCGATCTTTGGCCGTCTCGGGGCCCTCTTGGACCGTCTTGGAGGCTTCTTGGGGACCTCTTGGCCCGTCCTGGGGCCCTGTAACAGGGCTCCGGCATCTCTGACCCGACCTTGCCGGGACCTTGCCGGGGTACTTTTCGTCCGGGGACCCCCAGGGGCCGCCCCGCGCGCGCGAACTAGAAATACTGTTAACCAGGTACACAAGCGCCCGACATCTTGATGTCTTTATTTTGCGGGCCCAGGATCCCCGACGCATCAACGAGATGCTTGCTTTTTTCGAGCGCAGCCAGAATGTGATCCTTGCGAGGTAAATTCCGACTGACTGACAGACTGATTGACAGACAGGCCGACTGATTGACTGACTTACTGACTGACCAACTGATTGGTCGCGCGGCGGTTACATTCTCGGCCGCCGAAGGCGCAACCGACAGCGAAACCAATGGGAGACGGCTGCGTTCTCTGCCGCCGAGGGCGCAACCTATGGCGCAACAAAAAGTAAGCGGTTTTATTCTCAACCGCCGCCGAGAGCGCAAATCATGGCGCAACCAGTAGGAGACGGTTTTATTCTCGGGCGCCGGGGGCGCAATTTATGGCGCAACCAATACGGTTTTTATCTAGACCACCGAGGGCGCAACCTATGGCGCAACCCGTAGGAGACGGAAGTATATTCGGCCGCCGAGGGCGCAACCCATGGTGCAACCGCAAAACGACGGGATCATTCTCGGCCGCCGAAGGCGCAACAAGGCGAAGCCAATAAGAGATGGGTTCATGCTCTCGACCGCCGAGGGCGCAACCTATGGCGCAGCCGACCGCGTGCGGTTTTTTGTTGGCAGCCGAGGGCGCGGCTTATGGCGCAACCGATGGACGACGGTTTTATTTTCGGGCTCCGAGGCGCAACCTATGGCGCAATCGATAGGCGACGGCTTCACTTTCGGCCGCCGAGGGCGCAACCTATGGCGCAACCGATAGAAGACAGTTTTGCTCTCGGCCGCCGAGGGCGCAACCTATAGCGCAACCGATAGGAGGCGGTTTTGTCCTCTTTCACAGGGTGGCTGGAGCCGCGACTATTGCACTTCGCGTCGCCCGCCCCTCTGTCCCCAGCTCCCCCTTCTGTTCCCAGCGGCCGAGAGACCCATCCACCCGACCACTTTATTTCGCGTCGCCCCGCCTCCCTCCTCCTCCTCCTCTGCCCCCGGTTCGCTCCCCAGCGGCCCCCTGTTTTCGCCCACGGCAGCCGAGTTCCCCCCTCCACCGCCCCGACCGCATTATTTTTCGTCGCCCCACCCACCCACCCCCTCTGCCACGTTCCCAGGGCCCGCCTCCTCGTGTTTTGCGTTGTTCTTTCCACTCCCTTTCCTCTCCTTCCCCTACGTGCCAGACCCGTGGCACGCGCGCCGCTTGTTCGCGGCCGCCGAGGGCGCAAACTATGGCGCAACCGAGCGTGTTCAATATCGGCCGCCGAGGGCGCAACCCATTGCGAAGGTAAAGGAGGCGGTTTTATTTTCGGCGCCCGAGGGCTCAACCTATGGCGCATCCAGCAGGATGTTGTTTTATCGTCGGCCGCCGAGGGCGCAACTTATGACGCGACCGACGGGGGGCGGGCTCATTCTCGGCCGCCGAAGGCGCAACCTATCGCGCAATCAATAGGAAACGGTTTGATTCTCGGCGGCCGAGGGCTCAACGCTCGGCGCAACCAATAGGCGACGTCTTATTTTCGGCCGACGGGGAGGAACACGAGCAGCACGAGGACGATGACGACGAACGACGACGAAAACGACGACGACAACCACGACGACGACGACGACGGCAACGGCGACAGCGGCGGCGCGGCGAACGCGTTTGCTGCGACGACGACTGTGACAGCGGCGGCGGCGACGGCGCTGGCAGAGACGAGGACCGTCGCCACCACGACGACGCCATAGGCGACGAGCGCGCCGACCCGGCCAAATTCCGCGGGACATCCAAATGCGTGCGGGGCTACGTCCGATTTGTGCTCGCCGTTTGGGCTGGCGGCGGGGACCAGGCGGCAGGTTGTCTTGTGATTTCATCCAAGAACATTTCTTGACGGCCCTGGGCCCGCTGAGGGCCCCCAAGTACCAAAATGCGGGGACAAACCTCTGCCTTGATTTTTCAAGACGTTAGGTCTCTGGGTTCATCGTCCACCTCCTCGCCCTCCCCCTCCCTCTTCTTCTCCCCACTCTGTTCCCTTCGCCCACCCTCCCCAGTTCTCCTCCCCCTCTCCTCCTTTTCCTCCCCTCTGTCGTCGTCGTCGTCGCGGTTTTCGTCGTCCTCTTCACCGTCGCCGTCGTCGTCGTAGTGGCCGTCGCCGTCGTCGTTTTCGACGTCCTCGTCTTCGTCCTCGTCGTCCTCGTCGCCGTCGTCGTCGTCGTTATCGTCGCCGTCGCTGTCGCCGTCTCTGTCCTCGTCACATTCATAGTCGCCGTCCTCCTCCTCCTCCTCCTCGTCGCCGTCGCGTTCGTCTTCCTCGCAATCGCCGTCGTCGTCGTGACCGTCCTCGTCGTCGTCGTCGTCGTCCTCATCCTCGACGTCGTCCTCCTCGCCGTCGTCGTCGTCGTCGTCGTTGTCGTCGTCGCAAACGTCCCCGTCCTAGTCGTCGTCGTCCTCGCTCTCGTCCTCGTCGCGCTCGTCGTCGTCGTTGTCGGTGTCGCCCAGGAGGGCGTCGTCGCCGTCCACTATGGCGCCCCAGCGCTGCTCCATGGAGCCAATTTTCTTGCGAATCCGACCCCTGACGGACCATTGGGAAGCATTTGCGCAGGCCCCCGGGGGCCGAAAATTATAAAATGTTTGAAGAAATCATTGTTCAAACGGGAGAAACGTCTTTCGAATTTGAAGCAATTTCCATTTGAGGACAATTGGAAAACAAGTTGAGAAAATGTTATCAAAGTGTTCTCAAATTATCCCGAAATGGGTAAAAGTGCTTCAAATCAGAGAACATTTTCTCCAGCTTGAATCATGTTTTTCCAATAATCTCATAGTTTTCGCACCCGGGGGCATGCGCAAATGGGGCGGATTCGCAAGAGAATGGGCCCCACGGGGCAGCACTGGGACGCCATGGCGGACGGCGACGACGCCCGCGGGGGCGACAACGACAACGACGACGGGGACGAATACGACAATGAGAACGAGGACGAGCGCGAGGAGGACGACGACGACTAGGACGGGGATGTTTGCGACGGCGGCGACGGCGACGAGGACGAGGAGGACGACGACGAAGAGGAGGAGGACGACGACGATTGCGAGGAGGACGACGACGACGGCGACGACGACAACACAATTGCGACGAGGACGACGATTACCGCGACGAGGATGTCGGCGAGGACGGCGACGACAGCGTCCACGACGACGACGACGACTTCGACGAAAACGACGAAGACGGCGACGACAACGTCGACGAGGACGACGACGACGACGACGACGACGACGACGACGACAGCGCCGCCGTTTACGACGACGACGACGACGGGAGTGAGCCCAGCCCAAACAGTGATCATAAATCGGACGTAGCCCCACGCGCTGTCGGATGCATGTACAGTCAGGCTTGGCCAGGTCGGCGAGCGCGTCGTTGCCTTTGGTGTCGTCCTGGTGGCGGCGGCTCTCGTCTCCGCCGGCGCCGTCGCTGCCGCCGC